GAGGGGTTTGCACCTGGGCATTAGGGTGGCAGGAGGGAGCTCCCCGGGAGCAGGTGTGAGGGGTTTGCACCTGGGCATTAAGGTGGCAGGAGGGAGCTCCCCGGGGAGCAGGTGCCAAGGGTCTGCACCTGGCAGGGGCTCTGCCCCCTCTGCAGCACCACTCAGTCTGTCCTGGCTGCAGGAGGGCGGGCAGAGCAGCTCCCTACAGACCAGGGGAGGGTGAGTAGCATCCCTGCCTCATGCCAAGCTCCTGAGGGGTCTGTTCTGGGGGAGCCAGAGCTCTGCGTGTCCTGACGGTTGCTTCACCCCGTGCACCTCAGGAAATGCTGAAATACAGCAAGAACTGCGAGGGGGCTGAGGACCTGCAGGAGGCGCTGAGCTCCATCCTGGGCATCCTGAAGGCCGTGAATGACTCCATGCACCTCATTGCCATCACCGGCTATGACGTAAGGCGCCCAGAGGCCCAGCCTTCCCCACCACCTCCGTGGAATATGCCAGGCCAGCAACGTGGCGGCCTCCCTGCACACTCCCCACGCTTTGGTGTGAACGTGCAGGTTCTGAGCAGGAGGTCTGGGGTGGTCCCTAGATAAGCCCACTCCCAGGCCCTGTAGCCGGGTCCACAGACCCCCCTGGGCTCTCTGGGGCGTGGAGAAAATCAGGAAGCGTCCCCTGCTTGGAGGGCACACATCTCCGGCAGGAAAGCAGCTCAGCCCTCCCTCCTTGTCTTCTCCTGGGGAGGAGGCGTGGCTCGGAGCAGACGTGACGTCTGTTTCCTGGGCTGCGATTTGCAGGCTGGTGACTTAGAGCAAGTAGCCCCCGAAGGCAGATGTCACTTTCCCCACAGAGCCCCACGTCAGGTCAGCTTGTTCATCTTCTGCCCCCCTCTTTATGTCCCCCCAGCCTCATTCTCAGGGTTTGTTTTAGGTAATAGAGTTTATTAATTGCAGCAGTTTTTGGTTTGTGAGATAACTGAGTGTAAATCAGAGGCCCTGAGGCTTCCCCTAGTGTTGACATCCAGCATGGGTGCCACACCGGCCACATGTGGTGAACCGGCGCTGATGCTGATTACTGACTGAGGGCTGTTACCCTCGGAGCTCATTCTGGGTGCTGCGCGTTCTGCGGTCTGGACAGGCGTGTGGCGTCCTGCACCCAGTGCTAGAGCATCACACAGAGCAGCTTCACTGTCCTAGAAGCCCACGTGCCCCACCAGTCCCTCCCTCCTCCCCCAGCCCCTGGCACCTGCTGACCCGTCACGGTCTCCATGAGCTGGCCTTTCCCGGGACGCCCTGCAGTGGGAATCCCACCGTGGGTGGGCTTTGCAAAACGGCTGCTTTCACTTGGTGATGTGCTCCCGTGGCCCCACGCCCATCCCGTTCCTAACACGCCCTGCTTTCACTCGGTGATGTGCTCCCGTGACCCCACGCCCATCCCGTTCCTAACACGCCCCTGCTGTCGCACATTTAGGGGAATCTCGGCGACCTGGGCAAGCTGCTGATGCAGGGCTCGTTCAGCGTCTGGACCGACCACAAGAGGGGCCACACCAAGGTGAAGGAGCTGGCCAGGTTCAAGCCCATGCAGCGGCACCTGTTCCTGCACGAGAAGGCCGTGCTCTTCTGTAAGAAGCGGGAGGAGAACGGGGAGGGGTACGAGAAAGCCCCCTCCTACAGCTACAAGCAGTCCTTAAACGTAAGTGAGGCCGGGTCCACAGCAGCAGCTCCTGGCCACAGACCCCGATGGGGGGAAATCTGTAACTGGGTCCCTGTTGCCACAGACCGTGAGGCGGCCACGCTGACACCCAGCTCTCATCCTTAGGTAGGGGGGTGGGGGATTCTGCCATTCTTAGCCCCCATCCCCAAAGTATTTCCATTGTTTCGTGCCTGCACCAACACCTTTTTAAAACAAGGCGGTGGGTCCGCTGTGGGCGCGAACCCCGTCTCCGCTCTCTGCTGGCAGATGGCTGCCGTCGGCATTACGGAGAACGTGAAGGGAGATGCTAAGAAGTTCGAGATCTGGTACAACGCGCGTGAGGAGGTCTACATCGTCCAGGTGGGCCGCCCACCCTGCCCCTGGCCTCTTCCACATTATCATGAACCGTTTCTCAAGGGAACCAGTGCTAGAATCTGCCGTGAAGTTGCATCGAGGCCAGGAGCAGCCGCTGTGCGCTTCAGGGTCCTGCCCTGGGCTGTGTTCACCCTGAGCTGGGCCCAGGATGAAATTCGGGGAAAATCACACATCAGAGGGGCTGCTGCGAGGAAATGGGCTCGTCCTCCCCAGGGGAGCTCGTGCGTCCCTGCACAGCGCAAGTGTGCGGACACGTCCAGCACGCAGGGCCGATTCTCACGGTGGAGAGGGTGCTGTGCCCTGAGTGCCAGGCACAGCTCTTCAGTCAGTCCCGTGCGTGGGGCGCAGACGGTCCCCCAGCCCGGGGCCAGCCCGCGGCGCTTCCCTCCTCTCCCGTCACACGCAGCCATCTGACCTTTGACTCCCAAGATGATCCTTGGATGTTCTGAGAGTGAAACCAAAGTGTTTCCTCGGGGGCCTGAGTACTCACCTCCTGGCGTTTCTTTTGGGGAAACAGGCACCAACTCCTGAGATTAAGGCCGCGTGGGTGAATGAAATTCGGAAAGTGCTGACCAGCCAGCTGCAGGCTTGTCGAGGTGAGGCTGTCTTCAAGCCATCATTTTCCCGTAGCTTCCTCTCCAGGTGCATTTTTACATGTGTTCAAAGCAACCGCACAGTCCCCGTGTGTGCAAGGCGCCTTGGCGCTGAAGTAAAGACGCTCATTCATGTGGTTTGTCTGCTCCCTCCTCACAGAAGCCAGCCAGCACCGGGCACTGGAGCAGTCGCAGAGCCTGCCCCTGCCGGCCCCGACCAGCACCAGGTGAGGACAGACACGGCGCCACAGGCCTGCGTTTATGGAGCACTCCGAGTGGGGGATTTGCACGCCAGGGTCCTCGGCCTCTGTCAGTGGGACCCCATGATTACTGGGGTTTCCTTGAGGCCCCTGGTGTTGATGTGCTCATGGGTCAGTCCCAGAGGGTGCACTTCCCAGACGTGTGCCTCCGGCAATGCCCGCCGCTCTCCAGCTCTTCCCCGGCTGGGCTGTTCCACGGCACGGCAGTGTCCAGATCACGGCCACGCCCCCGCATTCCTGATCCTGAGACACTGGGTGCCCAGTGGGGACCCGGCCCTGATGGCCCAGCACACGTGTGGGCACAGTTCAGACTCCAACCCTGACTGTGGCTTCGTCGTGTCTCTTCTGCCCTTGTTTTTTCTTTATTTTATTCATCACTTATTTTTTTCACTTGATCCTGTTTCTTATATAAGCTTCCTTTAATCATTGATGAAACAGGACACAGACACGGCCTAAAAAATAATCCGTAGAACAGTAGTTTTCAGAAAGAAGCACCCCCTGCCAACCCCTGCCCCCGCCGAGAAAACAAACCTCCTACTTTGGAGCGAGTAGGGTGGGCGCCTGCTCTCCTCCAGCCCGTCCGGGTTCCCGGGCGCGGTGGCTCAAGCCTGTAATCCCAGCACTTTGGGAGGCTGAGGCGGGTGGATCACGAGGTCAGGAGATCGAGACCATCCTGGCTAACACAGTGAAACCCCGTCTCTACTAAAAAGTATAAAAAACTAGCTGGGCGAGGTGGCGGCGCCTGTAGTCCCAGCTACTCGGGAGGCTGAGGCAGGAGAATGGCGGGAACCGGGGAGGCGGAGCTTGCAGTGAGCTGAGATCTGGCCACTGCACTCCAGCCTGGGCGACAGAGCGAGACTCCGTCTCAAAAAAAAAAACAGAAACACGTGCAGGAGATGCTGCTTTAGGATCAGGCTGGGAGCTCAGAGATAGCTGAATGCCTCAGGTCCTCAGCACGTTTTGAAAAACTAACCAGACAACACACTGTTTCTTTTTTGATTTGTCTGATGTCATCAGTCCCTCGAGAGGAAACTCAAGGAACCTCAAAAAGCTGGAAGAAAGGAAAACGGACCCCCTGAGCCTGGAGGGATATGTCAGCTCAGCACCACTGCCAAAGCCCCCCGAAAAGGGCAAAGGTGGGTGTGTGCAGGGACCAGGCCTCACATGGAGGCCTCACACGGAGTGCTCACTGTGTCCGAGAAACACGCGCTTCCTGCAGCGTGAAGAAGGTTTGCAGAGCGTTCAGGGCCCCTTGCTCCCCCCTTAACAGAGCCCTAGGACCTCACAGAAGAGCCCCTCCCTCTCCGTTGCTCTGCACCCCTGTATCAGCAAGGTCAGCCCCAGCAACAGCCCCGGCCCAGACCCAGCGTGCAACCTGGAGCCGCCCTGGGCCCTCCCCGCAGCAGCTGGACCCGCCTCCACGCCGGGTTGCGATCCCTCTGCATAGTTTCTTTCTCTTCCTTCATAGATGACACGGTCACTAGCTCTGCCTCAGAAAGCTCTGCGCTTTCCAGAAAGCGCTTTACCCTGCAGGGCTTTGCTAACCTCAAAGGTCAGAAAGGTAAAAGTAGCACCTGCCCGAAACCCACCCTCACTGTGGTGGCATCTGTCATGCATCGTGTGTGACCATTCGTGCCTCCTTCATCACAAGGGCGGCCACGCAAAAGCGTTTCTTTCCACCCAATCACGTATTCACTGACGCTGTGTCTCACACACAGACACCCAGAGTTATCCTTTAGGAGTGGCTTTCCTTTGGAAAAATGAAGGCGAGCTTTTCAAATGGAGGCTCGCTCAGAAACGGGAGCTGTACTTGGCTTTGCAGGCTCCCCTCCTTCCTCTCCCTGCACCCCAACCCCCGCCTTCTCAGGTGAGTTCCCTGCAGGGTGCTGACCTTTCCAGCTGCGTGGCTCTGCTCTGCCCAGTGACAGAGGCCGCTCAGCCATCTTCTGGGGCATCCGCTTGTGAACAGGGCTGACGGGACCCTTGAGACAGAGACGTCTAACGCCCTGCTCACCTGCGAGAGCTCTGTGCTGGGAAATACATGGCGGGGGAATGGGCCCAGGAGGCCCTGGAAGCTGGCCCTGCGTGCAGGCAGCTCTTCTGGGTGGACAAGGGCTCTTTCCAGAGAATTAGGCGTGTTTTGCAATTTATAAAAATGCTTTTAAGTTGACCTGAAACTTGAAACAAACAAATGAACAACAGATTCTGGTGCTGCAAACTCTGCTAGCGCAGAACTAAGAAAACATCCCTAGAGACGGCCCCTGAAAGGACGCCTCTGAGTGCCGCAGCCCCCACTCCCACGCCCCTCCCCGCCCCTCCTTCACCGCGCGGCCCCTCGGCTCCCTGCATTTTGCTCACAGAAGCTCCTTTCTCATCAGTGGAAAGGGGCCACAACGTGGGTGTCCCCTCCCGGCACAAGCGTGGGTCAGCCTCCTCGCCGCCTCCCTCCATCCCTCACGCTCTCTCTCCGGGCACAAGCGTGGGTCAGCCTCCTCGCCGCCTCCCTCCATCCCTCACGCTCTCTCTCCGGTTATATTTCTGCCTCCTCCTCCTCTTGCAGCTTCTCCTACCAGTCCTGACAAAAAAGCCAAGCGGCACGAAGTAAAGAGCGACCCGACTCCTTTTGGTTTGCGAGGTAGAGTGGCACCCTCGGGCACGGCACCCGCTCTGCGTCGGCAGGAAGCGCGGCCCAGCTGCTGTCGGGTGGCCGTCAAGGCCACCTAAGGGGGAAGCTCGTGTGGGTCTCTGTGCTCCAGAGGCAGACACGTGGTTGTGTTCAGTGTATGATGCTCTGGCGACAGGTCCTTGAGGACAGCACACCTCTCAGCCGACTCCTCTCAGCAGGTCTGTCCGGAGCCTGTGGGAGTGTCCACCCCGTCAGTGGCTGCCGGCCACGGCTGCTGCGCTGGTCACCCAGCCGTGCTGGTGGAGCTGGGTGGGGTCTCACTGCCCAGTGGCTGCTGTCGGCTATAGAGCACCCCGTTCCCCGCCCTTCCCTGCGGCACAGTTTGCCCCGACACTTCCTGCTGGGAACACAGAGCAACTGGCGGCCGACCCAGACCCTCCTTTCCTGGGGCCGGCAAGGCCGAGCTCCCTGTGGAACCTGACCTCTCTCTGTTTCCTGCTTCTCTTACATTCTGAGGGTGAAAACTGCCCTGAGAAGTCCAGAGACCTCCCCCAACCCGTTGAGGACCCTCAAGTGCAGAGAGGGGGCTTCATGTTTGCAATCTTGAGTTTTCAAATAATTTGCAAAGGTTCCCTGGGGTGTAAGCAGAACCAGCCTCCCCATCCTGCCTGCCTGCAGAGCCTCCTCATGTGGCACTGCCAGCCCCATGGAGCCAGGCGGAAGCTGTGGCCACCCTGGGCGTGAGTTCAGAGGCAGGTAACTGGCCCGGCGTTCCTGACCGTCTTGCCTGCAAGTGGGTGGACGCCCGGCTCGCTGCTTCGAGGCCCCAGGAGCTTGGGAGAAGGGAGCCATTTCCCCATTGACAGTCTCCTGGGAGAGGCTACTCTTGTCTGTTAAGCCTTCTCCGCTTGTGACCTGCAGCCAGCAGAGCCGGTCCCTGGTGGAGAAGGTGGGCCGGGCTGGCCCTGTGGGCCAAACGCCGCTTCTGCTGTACTTTGGCCAAGCTCAGCCTCCACTTCCGTCTCCTCGTCCGCGAATGAGACGGTGCAGCCTGGCAGGGTCTCTAGGAAGCCAGTGTGGTGTTGAAGCCGGGCCACTGCCCATGGGTCATTCTGCCATAGTCGGTGGCAGTGAGCCCAGGTGATCCTGGGTGGCCTGGGGCGCTGCCCAGCGCCCGCTCCCTGAGCCCTGCAGGTGGTGACTCCATCGAGCAAAGGCCGATGGCTGTTGTACAGAAAACAGAGGGTACCGTCCTGGCCATCACCCAGCCTCCTGCCTTCACACAGAATTCCCCATCTCCTGGGGCAGTGCCACTGGCCTGGCCTGTGGCTGCCCGCTCCCAAGCGCTGCCGTTCCCATCACGGTCAGACCTCTCCATTTCGCTGCTGGCCTCCCCCGCGCCCTATTCCAACACGGCCCGCAGAGAGGCTCTGGGGAGCACTAAGCGCCCACAGCCAGGGCAGCTCAAGAATCCCTTTGTGTGTCTGGTGGCACCAGGGCAGAGCCGCTTGGGTGTCAACCTGCACAGGCCGGCCTCGCTGCCCCGTGGAGAGGTTCGTGTGTGAGGTCCTACCCGGGCCACGCTGGCTCCTCTGCACACACAGCAGCCACCCTTTTTTTGTTCCGACTGTCCTCAATCAGATTTTTGGTTCTATCTGGCCAGAGGCCCCAGGTGTGGTCCCTCAGAGTGACTGGGGACCTGGACGGGGAGGGCAGGCTGGCAGCCAGACCCCACAGGCCAGTCCCTGCTGCTCTAGAGGAGGCAGCTGGGCCCCCATCCTGTGCTATGTCTCAGCCTCCCTTGCTGGGGGCAGCTGCAGGTACACTCAGGAGGCCACGCCGCAGGTCCGCAACCGGAAAATCACAGTCCTCAATTCTCACACAGATGCAGGCCTGGTGTGCTGCCTGGAAGGCTCAGCTAGCTCCAGCTGTGACCCCAAGAGGGCAGAGCACTCGGGTGGAGTGGAGGGAGCGGCTCCATGCTCTGCTGGCTGACGGTGGTGCCCAGGCCCAGCTCCCTTCTCTACACAGACAGCAGAGGCCCGCTTAGCACCGGCTTTTCCTTGCCAGTGCAGACACTGTCAGCCATTGGAACTGGCCTGCAAGACAGCTTGCTGTGGCCGCTTTGCAGGCACAGGGCACATGGGCATTCACGCATGCAGCTCCTCTGTCCTTCCCATGCCCCGCACCCTCCATCACAAGGAAACATTTGCTTCCAGTGGCACCAAATAGGATTTGGAACCAGTTTGTGCCCAAACTCAAATCCCATTAGCATCTGCTTTTTTCCCTGGAGGGCGTGTGTCCTGCCTTGGTGCATTTGGCACCAGGTGGGATGCACTGGGCCTGCTGCCCAGTTGCTGCCTTTGCGTGTTTATTCAGCCGCGAGGGCGTCTCCCATCTCCCCCACATGGGAAAGGCAGGTGCCGTCCTCTGGGCCCCTGGCAGGAGGAACATTGTGGGCGGTGGGGGACATGTGTGGTCCCAAGTCTGGAAGAAACTCCTTCCTCTTCTCCCGCTTGGAGCTGCGTGGCCAGTGGGAGCCCATCTCCGCCATGGCACCTGCGTGGCCTCAGCCTTCTGGTTTGGTGCCGCTGTGCTAGGGGCTACTCTCTTGCCAGTGGGGACCATAGCCCTCGGTATCCCACAGATCAAGGGCATCGGGCCCTCTCAGTGAGCCTCTGTTGCTTTTAGACACTGCTTCCCGGTTCGGTCTGCTAGGTGTTGAACATGACCGTGGCACTCACTGGAAACACCTGCCCTGCGGGGGCATCTGCGGCAGGCAGGCCGCTTCCCTCCTGGCTGAGGGGCACTGCCCTGCCTGACAAGGGCGTGGCTTCCCCAGGGCCTGGGGATTGAGGTCTCCCACAGGGTAGCCCAGCAACTGGAAGCAGATGCTCTGAAACCCTGAAACGTGCCAGGCATTCTGGAAGTCTGTAGGGGTGTCCTGCTCAGCTCTTTATGAACCCGGGAAGATGACGGGCTGTGTTGGGGCCCACGGTGCACATCTCAGGGGGTCTGTGGGACTTAGGTGACCCCACCTCAGATGGATGCAGACAGCAGCTCATCACCAAGGGGTCCCTCACGAGTTCTGTCTCTCTCAGGTTGGAGCAAAACTTCCCACTCACTGGAGGCACCTGAGGACGACGGGGGCTGGTCAAGTGCAGAAGAGCAGGTTAACTCGTCCGACGCCGAGGAGGACGGCGGGCTGGGCCTCAAGAAGCTGGTAACCGAGGCCTCCCTGCGGGCACTTGGGATGGGGGCTGCCCTCCAGGGATTGGGGTGCTTCTGGCAGGTCCCCCCAGGCCTGGGTCTTGTGGCGTAGCCCCAGCTCCTCCTAACCCTGGAAGGTCCCCCGGGGCCTGGGTCTTAGGGGCAGCCCCAGCTCCTCCTAACCCTGGAAGGTCCACCCGGGCCT